TTTTTTTTATGTTTTCCCAAAATGTTTATTTTAGGCAGATGCTATTGATTGGGACAGTGAAATAGGATTCAGTAATAGTATCTCAAAATGATGCACTCTATTGGACTGAGAATAGCCTAATACACACTCAAGAAATTGTGGGATGAATAAGCACCATGTTGCTGTATGGAATAAACATGAGGAAGTGTGTGTTCTCAGAGAGGGAGCAGGTCACCACTCACCATAGGGAGAGTAACAATCTTTTTGTATGGATAGAATTTCTTAAGTAATCAATTAATTTACTTATTTATTTATGGATAGAATTTAAGCTGTAATTCATAAGTAGAAAGAATACACTGAACCTGAGAGGATACAAAGGGATGTTAAAGATATAGGCAAGGTCATCTGCACTAGGGTTCTCTATCTCCCATCCAAGTGCTAACCAGCCCAGGTTCTGCTTTGCTTCTCCACCCACATAGGGCATTTCCAGGGTGGTTTGGCTGCTGAACAGGCACTTGTAGCCAATCAGAATACGGTTTTCTCTCCTCTCTAGAATATATCATCTGAAAGTGGTGACCCAAGAATGATACAATTGTAAAGTCAGATGAGCTAGTATAAATTCAGGATGGTTAGAAAGGTGGTTTAGTTTTTGATTCATATTTTCTCTTTTTTTTTTTTTTTAACTCTTTCAAGTTAAGCCTTTTTAGGTTGGGAAGAAGCACAGGGCCTACACACTGCCTCGTTCTTCTGTTGCTCTCACTTTATTAGTACTGGTGACAGTTGATGCTCCATGTGATCCACATCCTGTACCGGCTTCCACCAGGCACCTCTGGCATTCATTGCTTTTCCATCTAGCAGTGGGACTTTAACCTGAGTGGAATACAGGGTCTGTGCAGAAAGGACACATGGCTTAAGTTTGTTCTGTGGGTTGTGGTTCTCTACCAATCTATGCAATAAATGTTAATGGTAACCAGTATCTTAACTAGATTTCCACTAAAGTTAATAATATCTGTTTTTTGGTATTTGAATACTGTGGGTAGGTAAAGGGACATGGCTTAGAGTCTGAGGACTTCATGATGTTCTTGGATTTCACATCTCTATGAGGGTGGACATAGGTTATTGCACTAAGTCATATTCATCAGATCAAATTCCCAATTTCCGTCCATATGAATATGTCAAGAATTCCTGGCTTTGATGATACAGAGATTTGAACATGATCCTGATGATCTCACCTGCCATGTCCAGGGGGGTCTATTCTGTAGCTCTGCCCATAGCCATCCCCACACAACAACTGGGAAGAAAAGGTAAAAGGCTTTGATATGTTTTGTGTGCTGACCTAAGCACTGTGTAAACTTGATCCCAGTTGCTAGTAGAAAGTACTGAAGTAAGAGAACGCTTAGTTCCATCTTGCTTGTGAGACTAGTGGAGTTTAGAGTGATGATGCATTTGCTCAAAGTCACACATCTTCTAAGAAGCAGAGTCAGGAAAGAAATCCGGGGATGCCTCACACCAGAGTCCATGTTATTTTTCCCTAGGAGGAAAATATATAGGTTGGCAGTGGCCGACAGTGAGAGATATAAAGCAAGTTTTTGGAGTCCTCCTGGGTGGTTTGGTATATTTCACCAATTTATCATGATTAGTGGGTCCTCATCCATGGATTTACAACTAGAACTACAGGAAAGGACTAAGGCTCATGGTCTAACGAACAACAGGGTTCATTTACCAAAGTGTGAACCAGAGAAAGATACTGGGAAAAGGAAAGTGATAGAATCAGGCACTAGTGTTACAGCTCTCAGAGTGATCTAGGCATAAACAGGTGGCAGAAACAGCTCTTTATTGGTGCTGAGCAAGGGTTGCACACAACTCTGTCCCGGTCAGCAGGCGGTGGGAGACAGGGCCGAATGCTGGAACAAAGATCAGGTGGCTATGAGAAGCAGAGGTCAGATGGAAAGGTCTGGAATGTCTGTGAAGGTCCTGAAGGTCTGTTAAGGTCTTCCTAGGAGAGAGTTCTGATGAATGTCTCTACCTCTTGAAGCTGGCTAGAGCCTAGCTTATATCCCTTTCAGGGTACCTGCCTTTCAAACTTGATTGATCTGTTTTACTGGATTGAGACCCATGTGAGCACAAACCTGATTGGTGCTTGTGGGAGCTTAAACCTGATGAGTTGGCCATTTTCAATCAAATACTGATTTCAAAACTAATACTGCTCTAGTCTCTAACCTTACATATACGAAGGCTGGGAATCACTACGACTCTGTGTGTTTGTGGGGTAAAGGAGCCTTGTGACAATAGGGCTGCTGTGGCATTTCCCTGGCATAAATCCTCAGCCTCACAGGTACAGGCAACATCTTAAATTTTGAATTATCATTCACTTTTGTGATGCTAGCTAGCTGTCCACTCACGTCAATGATCTTGAAGTCCTTCTGCTCTTCACTGAGTCTTTCCTAATGTCAGCTCATTCTGGAACACATAATTCTAAAGAACATGGGACGTCTTTAGCCATGCATGTCTGAGTGCTTTCAAGGTCTTTATATATGCATAGATAACTAGACTTCCTATGTGTGAAATTACATCTCACTCTGTATCCAATTGTTCTCTCAGGAACTTAAGTCATTCCACTGTGTTAGCTCCAGGGTTAAGGGTTGAAGCATGATAGAAGAGTCCATGGCAATTAACTTTTCTAATAACAAAATTTCCCAGGATAGGAGTAGTGAAAAGTGAGATTTATCTTTTCTGTTCCCCAGGCTATTTCAGCTTCTGCCATTGTCCGTGCCTCAACAACTGCTAAGTTAGTATCTGGTCCTTCTTTTGAGAACTAATTAAATTAGAGAGGAGATATGTGGGATATTGATGACAGCTCAGCTTGAAGTCCCCACTCCCAATAGTGTATATATCAACCAGAGAGTCACAGACCACCAATAGTTTCTCCTTGTGGGCCTTAGTCTTCTTGGCAGTAAAAATCCTAATTTCTATTTTTTCATTTTAATTTTATCAAAATGTATCACCCTAGGCATCACACTTCATTTCAACATTTAATTTTATTTAATATCAGAAATATACCTGAATTCATTCATTTTTCTCCTATTTCTTATTGCTATACTGTAATTAACATTATATTATTCCTTGCATGATAATTTCATTAGACAGACATATTCTCAGTGTTTCCACCCTGGCTAATAGTTTTCCTTCCCTTACCCAGACCCCAAACATACACAGAATACACATACAACAGTCTAGTTATCTATCTGTCTATCTATCTATCTATCTATCTATCTATCTATCTATCTATCTATCTATCTATCTTTTTTTCTTTTCAATTTATATTAGAGATTTTTCCAATGCATAAAAGAATGCATCAGTCTTGAAATGAAAACATTCGAGCGGCTTCTCTTTGTGCTGAGAATAAAGTCCTACTCCTGAGTTGGACTGGCATGTGCCTTGTTACTGAACCCTATTTGGTATGTCTTTCTTCTCCTTCATGAATTTTCAGCCATAATGCCTGTTTATTGAATGTGGCCATGTTTGTTCCATCCTGGTACTCTGTTCCTTCTGCCCTTCTGTTTCTGCATACCTGTGGTCTTTTGTTCAGTTAAGTTTCCTTCATTGTCTCTTCTTCAGAAGATCTACCAAGTGTTGCTGTTAATCCACTGACAACTATATACCTCACTTTTTTCAGAGCATTTATTTATACTTGTTATGCTTCTTTATTTAATTATTTCTCTAATTTGTGCCACTCCCTCATCCACAAATTTAAGTAGAAACCTTGTCCATCATGTTCCCATAATATTCCAGTCCTTTGAAGTTTGCCTGGCACAATACTGTCTATGAGAATCATATGCTGATTGGCTGAATGAATTGACACCTTTAGTTCTGCATTGCAGTGCATTTAAGGGTTTCTTCTTGGGAACTATCAACTTTTTCTTTTTGTTAACTCAAAGTGTTTAAGGAGGAAATTGAAAACGTGTACCTTACATCCTGGATAAACTAGCAACTCAAAAGAATTCCACAAAAAGTTGTAAAATACTGCATATACATATGCAGAAAATATACCCAAGAAATTTATAATGGACTGTATGAGTGTATATATCTTATCTCTTCCTCTGATACACTTATTCTAATCCTTGTATCTCCTGGCATCAAATACTGGGACTGTATTAACTTAGCCCTTTCCTGCATGTTACTCATTGAATTCATGTTTGATATCACAGTGACTTTTAATAAGCCCTTTAAGAATCCTCCCTGTTGGCACAGGGGCTAAAGTCTGAGTGCTATCAAGCTATCGCCAGCCACCGCGGTACGAGTGTGTTCTCAAGTCAGGGTGCTAACCCACATGGCACAGCAGACCTCTCCTGTCTCTCTGCTGTCCCCCTCAGCAGAGTATTTCAGCAGATCTGCTTGCTCTGCTCCTCACTCTGTCTCTGGTGAATTCTCTTGCCTGCTGCACCTCTGACCTAAATCCCAGTTCTTGTATGCATAAATAAATAAAAATAAATCTTTTTTAAAATAAGCCATTTAAAAAACAATGGAAACATTCATCCTCCTTTAAGGTAAGCTATATAGTAAATGATAGAGGTCACAAAGTCAGTATTTCCAAATATCAGTGAGAGAAATCTCTTTTTTGGGGGTGAGAAAAATAAGAGAAACCTTTGTCACCTAAACAGGAATTTTGTGTATTTCTTTTTCCTGATGTGACTGTTACTGTATATTGTGATTTTGTCATCTTTATTGACTTCGTTCAGGAAACTGAATATAGACATTGATATTCAAACCCAGACAGATATTAAATTTTGACATTTTGATTTTACACTTTCATACTTTTTTATTAATCTTATTACATGTGAACATATTTAATAATCACAATATCAGATTCAGATATTTAGACAATTATACCTGTATTTTGATTTATTTTTGACTATATATTTTCACCTCACTTCAAATTGTTTTAAAATGGTCATGATAGAAATGCAAACACACATATATATCATTATGATACATAAATAAATCTTAAAGGAGCATATACATTAAGAAGATTTTTTTCTCCTTAAGAGCTTCATCAATGCATTTTGCACTTCCTTATTTCTCAGACTATAAATCAGGGGATTCAGCATGGGAATCACAATGGTGTAAAACACAGACGTCACCTTTTCTTGAATGACTGAAGTGCTAGAAGTAGGTTTGAGATACATGAACATGAAAGACCCATAAAAAATAACAACCGCTGTCAAGTGGGACCCACAAGTGCTGAAAGCTTTGGACCTGCCCTCTTTTGATTGGATACGGAGGATGCTGGAGAGGATGAAAGCATATGAAATGATGATTGCTATGCTGGTGGCCTCCATACTAAATCCACCAATGATAAAAATCAAAAGTTCATCGACATACGTGCTGGAGCAGGAGAGTTGAATAAGGGGGATGATGTCACAGTAATAATGTTTAATGATATTTGAGCCACAGAAATCCAACTGTAACAAAGAAGTGTCATAAATCACGGCACAGATAAAACCTATGGAGAAGACAGTAGCCACCAGCAGAGAACAGACCCGCGGGGACATGATGACATTGTAGAGCAGGGGGCTGCAGATGGCGACATAGCGATCATAGGCCATTGCTGCCAACAGATAGAACTCAGAAATGGCACACATACAGAAGAGAAAAAACTGAGCCATGCATCCAGAATAGGAGATAGATTTATCTCTGTTTAAAAAGCCTGTCAGCATTTTGGGAACAATGACAGTAGAATAGCAGAAATCTAAGGAAGACAAACTACTGAGGAAATAGTACATGGGAATGTGAAGTTGAGGACTCAATGCAATGATTGTGATCATGCCGAGATTTCCCACCACTGTAGCTAGATAGATCCCTAAGAAGAGGAAGAAAAGGGGCAGCTGAAGCTCTGGTTGGTCGGTTAATCCTGAAAGAACAAACTCGGTCACTGTGGAGTGATTTCTTATCCCCATTCTCCTGTGGAAATCTGTGGAGATCAAAGAGCAAAGAATCCAATTAGACAGGCAGAGACCCAGCTCAGCTCCCATTCCCATATCCAGGTTCTGCGCTCCCTTTGCACCTGTTCTGGGCCTCCATTGATGAGAGGTTGTTACTCACCAGAAATTCAGTACTCAGGTTAAAAATTCAGTAAGCTTCTGTCTAAGAAGCTTCTGTTTAAGAACCATGTACAAACTTTTGAACCTAGTCCAGTGTCTCAAATTCTTTTAGCCAAATATAAAACACTTAAATATAGAGTTGGAGAGACTAATACTAAAGATCATGGAGGAAACTTTCTAATGAAAATCAGCCAAAGAAGGGCTTGAAGAAATTACTGTGGGCTGAGAAAATGCTCCTGCTGAGGACAGGACCCTGTTTTCAGGATTTCAGCAGAGAAGATGTCTCTTGTTAAGGCCAATAGTGATAACTGGGTAAGGTTTCCAAGTGTGTTCTGCAGGGTATTAATTCTGGGGCTGTAGTTATGGAAGTGCATGAAGTAAGTATCCCAGGAGCCTATGATTTCAGACATACAGAGTTAAATAAGTTTCTTTTTCTTTTTTTTAAATTTAAATGTTTTATTTTAAATAATTCTTACATCTTTTTTCATCTTTGCACAATGTATGCATTTTCATTTTGGTTATATTCCCCATACAAGTTTCTGAAAACCACACTATTTCTGAAACCTAGAAATAGGTTTGCGTTATGTTGCTCTGTACTGAGAGAACTGAGTTTTCATACAGAATGTCTCTGATTTAATCTAATCCTAAACTTACTGCCTGGTCAGAAGCTTGTTTCATGCACTTCAGTAGCTGCGTGGTAGAATGGCAGCCTCCCCAGCCTGTGTCTGCTCTCTGAATCTCTGACTGCTTTCTGGGCTTGCTTGACTTCTCTCAGGAGCTGCTGAGCTGGATTTAATACATTCCTGTAGTGCTGCCACTTTAAGCATCCCAGGTATTTGTGTTTCCACTATAGGGTTCTCATAGCATCCATTTTCAGCCAGAATTTTCCCAGGGTTGGGCAGAGATGACACATGTGGGGCTGCTTGTTCTGGGGTCACATTATGATTTCCGAAAAGTTGACCTGTCATTTTCTTTTTCCCATGATGAACTACTCTAAGAGTCTTGTCTAGTCTTTGCCTTTCTGTCTCTTTATTTCTTGATTACCCAGAAATTATAAAGAGCCCCAGTCAGACATCTGCTTTACAAATTCTACCTGACAAGCCCAGGATCTCCCTGTCTCCAGTCTTTTCAAGAAACTGTTCCTGACTTCTTATTTCCAGTCTGTTCCTGCACTATAGGACACACTTCTTTTGGGCCATGGGAGTTTCTTATGATGTTAGTGTCTCCTCCTGACTTCCCAAGGCAGTTTAAACAAGGAAGCTTCCTAACACTGCACATGTCTATGGAACACTGGCCTCTTGTACCTGCTCTTCTTTTCCTATCCTGAGGAATGAGGACAGAGGAATCATGTGCGAAAGAGAGATTGTCCCATTGTGGTTTGACTGTTAATGACATACTATGAAGTTCTCTTTTCCATTAGTCTTTTTTGCCAAATAGCATGCACAGTTGTAGACCAGTTACAGAGATCACACAGAGAAATAGCAATGCAATGTTCAAGAAGACGGTGTACTTACCATTAATCTCTTTCATCATGCTTCCAAAGTGTCCTTAGTATTGCAGATATTATCTACTCTCACTAAGTGTCTAATTCCACACATTTTCCCTGTTTCCTTTTTTTTTATCCAATGTCCTGCACCTGTCTGACTTCTAGCCAAGCCAGCTACTTCTTTATCCTATTTCTTAAGCAAGCCTGTGCCGTAGGTCCTTGCTACATAGCACGTAGCCCACCAAGTGGCCCCACCACCATCACTGGGAGGATGTGAAATGCACTATGTCATGTCCTAACCCACAGCACTGCCTCAGAACCTTCATTTTAATGGTCTCTGGACATGATGTGAGTGTACATAGAGTGTGAGAAGCACTGTTTGGCTTATTGTTGTTTAGAGTTGAAATCTCGTTGTACTTATTTTGTACTTTGAACCAGTCTTTGCATTCTCTGTGCCTGACAGCACTACTTTGGTATTTAAAAACTTATTTGGAAACATCTTATTAAGAAGAGCCTTCTTGGATGAATCTGCACAAATTTATTTTAATACATTGAGATTTTTGGTAGTGTAATAGACCTATCCTTATAAAACATTATACAATGTATCTTATCCACATAAAAGGAAACAATGATAACTGGTACCTATTTTATTTAACTATCTGCTAAATAGTGATTTTCACTAGATTAGGAGTAAATCTTTTACGTTACAATTTTGACCACCTGTCAAATAATATACTGCATTGTTTTACCTTTGTCAGCCTTCAGTAATTCTAGCAACTCAAAAAAAAAAATGTAGCAGTTTGAATGGTGTTTTTCGATATTTTAATGTGCCCCAAAGTGTTATTACTGGGACCATAACAAGAATATTACAAAGGTGGACTCTCAAAAAGTATTTCCAATGACAAATATATTTTTTCATTAATGGGTGATTTAAATGATTCTACAAGCCCATTTCTTAACTAGTAAAAACAAACACTTAAAGTCAGTTTTAATGCTATTGTTTGTTCACCTGATGTAGGGAAATCATTTCATTTTTATAAATGATGATATTAAAATGATTTTTTGGTGATTTGTACTCTGTTTTGACTGAACGTTTATAGTCATTAGATATTTTATGGTGCAGCATTTCCCACATCAAAGGACTCATATTTCAGTGCTCAGCAGCCAGATGCGACATATATGGCTATAATTTGAGCAACACAGGTATAGAAAAATTGTTTTTCCTAAATCTTGCTTCTTTGTCAAATGTCAATTTGCTCTTGGGCCTCCCCAGTGACGCAGCGGTTGAGCGCTGGGTTGCGAAGCTGCCCGCAGCCTCTGCAGCGCCAGTTCGATCCCCGGCTGCTCCCCGGCCACCGAAGGAGGGTCCCACATGGCGCGCAGACCTCTCCTGCCGCCCGCTGCTCCCCTCAGCAGTGTACTTCCGTCCTTCTGCCTGTTCTGCTCCCCGCTCTGGCTCTGGTGAATTCTCTCACCCTCCCACGCTTCTGACTGTACCCAATGCTTGTATAAATAATAAATAAATAAATAAATCTTTAAAAAAAAAGTCAATTTGCTCTTTTTTTTTTTTTTTAAAGATTTATTTATTTATTTGTTTGTTAGGGACTTATTTATTTATACAAGCACTGAGTACAGTCAGAAGCGCGGGAGGGTGAGAGAATTCACCAGAGCCAGAGCGGGGAGCAGAGCAGGCAGAAGGACCAAGGTACACTGCTGAGGGGAGCAGCGGGCGGCAGGAGAGGTCTGCGCGCCATGTGGGACCCCTCCTCAGGTGATGCAGCCGGGGATCGAACCAGCGCTGCGAGGCTGCGGGCAGCTTCGCAACCCGGCGCTCAACTGCTGCGCCACCAGGGAGGCCCAATTTGCTCTTATAATGAGGAAAAATATAGTACAGAAGTATAAGAAAGAATACTGAACTAGAAATTACTATATTAGATTCACCAACTGCTCTAAGATTTACATTATAATATTTGAGTGTCCCTCTGAAATTCATATTTTAATCAGTAAAATGAACACTTCAAAGGACTATTGTACAAATTAAAGAAGACAATTTGCGAACAGAATTTGTGCACTGCAAGGCCTGCATAAATATATTTGTAGTATTATCATTCTATTTTAGGGGCTGGTGATTTCACAGATTAATTCACAGATTGGCTTCTAGAGCCCTTAGACAAGGTGAGTGAACAACGCGCAGAGTCCAGATGGACGTTGCAGGCCTGCTCCCTTTAGACCAAGGCTCAATGACCAGCAAACACACAGAAGCCTTTGCGCTCATGTGAACAATTGAAATTGATTTTAGAGTATATTTTATCACCTACACAATATGTGCATCATACCTCTGAAACTCACCTTCCCCTTCTGAAGACTTAGCTGAGTGTGGCTTCTCCTAGCCTCATCACTTTAGGGATAAAGTTGGAATAATTGTAACATTTCATCCTTCAGTGTCTTAACAACTACAAGTAACACAAGTAACAAGATCCTGGTGTCAGTGAAACTGTGATTTCCTGTCTCTGTTTAAATATTTTATGTCTAGAAATATAAAGATGAGTAATTCCCAGAGGTTTCTTATCTCCTGAGGTTTAGCAGGCTGTGTAGTGTAAGACCTGTCATTTGATGGTCTTTCAAACTTTTTAATATAAGGACCTAATCATGTAATGTGGTCACATTTCCTGAGTAGTGCATGGCATGGCCTAATATTTGAATATATTTGGAATATATTTAGGTTTCAACTAAAAGAAAATAAATGCAAAAAAGAATATAATTTTCAAGTAGAAAGTTTTATTAAAATAGAACTAGGTTCCTACTTACATATTTTTATAGGACAAATAATGTACTATTTTTATTTATTCAAAAAATCTATTTTGGGTAGCTGCCATTGATTGGGACACAAATAGATTTCTGTAATAGTCCCTCAAAATGTTGCACTCTGTTGGCCTGAGAATAGCCTAATGCACGCTCAAGAAATTGTGGGATGAATAAGCACCATGTTGCTGTATGGAGTAAACATGAGGAAGTGTGTGTGCTCAGAGAGGGAGCAGATCACCACTCACTGTAGGGAGATTGACAATCTTTATGTATGGATAGAATTTCTTAATTAATCAATTAATTATTGATTTATGGGTAGAATTTAAGCTGTAATTCAAAAGTAGGAAGAATACGCTGAACCTGAGAGGATACAAAGGGATATTTAAGATACAGGCAAGGTCATCTGCACTGGGGTTCTCTATCTCCCATCCAAGTGCTAACCAGCCCAGGTTCTGCTTAGCGTCTCTACCTATAGGGCATTTCCAGGGTGGTTTGGCTGCTGAACAGGCATTTGTAGCCAATCAGAATATAGTTTTCTCTCCTCTCTAGAATACATCATGTGAAA